GAAAAAAACATAATTGTTTATGTCGGTAACTTTGATTTAAGATTTAAAATTCAAGAGCAAAACCAAGAAAAACTTTACCAAAATGCATACTCGAATAAAAAGATCTAAAATCAAAGAAAGTATGTGAATTTATTTTAAAAAGACATTCAGTGTCCATGTTCTTCACATGAATGTGAAAGACTGCGTGTGAAGTGGTACCGTTTGTCTGGTGAAAGTTAAACGACCAAAAAAAAGGACGAAAGTGAGTTTTTGAAAAATAAATAAAGCTAAAGGACAGCTTTCTGAAATAAAGGACTGTTCTTTATAATAAAGGAGGGATGGTCGCTGTAGCCATAAAACCATCTTCTCATTTAAGGAAGTCTCAAAGAAAGGGAATGGTGTCCCTGAATATACAGGTAGTCCTCGCTTAACGACCACAATAGGGAACAGAAAATTTGTTAATAAGCAGGGTGGTTGTTCAGCGAGTCACACCCGATTTTACAACTTTTTTTGCAGCGGTCATTAAGTGAATCACCATGGATGTTAAGTGAATCACACGGTTCCCCATTGATTTTGCTTGCCGGAAGCCAGCTGGGAAGGTTGCAAATGGCGATCATGTGACCCTGGGACGCTGCAACCACTCTAAGTGCAAGCTGGTTGCCAAGCACCCAGATTGCGATCACATGACCGCGGGAGGGGCTGTGACGGTTGTAAGTGCAAAGACTGGTTATAAGTCCCTTTGTTCAGCATTGTTGTTAACGGTCACTAAACGAATGGTTATTAAGTGAAGACTGCCTGCTTTTTGAAAACCTTGCACCCTAGAGAACATTGAGGGATATGCAGAGAATGTTGCTGTTGCTGTTTGCCAAATCTTGGACTCACCTTCCCACCAGGTATGCTCCATCTAATCTCCGGCTGAGGATGGCCTAAGACAGAGCAGGTGAGCTTCACGGTCTGGTCCTGATGGATCATGGATTGGTGCATCTCTATCTCCGGCTTTCCTGTTTGAGAGAGGGAGAGCGGGCATCCCAAAGCCCATGGATTTAATGCTGCGCTCCAGAAAAAGACGAATAGTGCATTAAGTAAGCTAACTGGAATGCTTGTGTGTATGTGAGTCACGGGGAGGGGAAAAGATCTCTTTTCCAGCCCCATCCGCCCCACCTCAGCTGTGTTGCCTGTACTGATCTGACTAATCTTCACAGCTTTGCGAGTCCGGTATCACCTGATCTTTCTAGGAAAAGCTGTGCAAAGAGCAACCTCTGAATGAAGAGCGTCATATCCTGACAAGCACGTGGGCCAAATTATTACGATAGAGCACCGGATTCTGTGCCAAAATGTGTCTTTAAGCTTATCTCAAAGCCCAATCCTCTGCAATAGCCATAGAGCAGTGATTCTCAACCTCAGCCACTTTAAGATGGGTGGACTTCAACTCCCCCACATTCCCAGCCCGGCGGGGAGTTGTGGGGGGT